TTTCCCCCAGCCCTTAGTTTAAAAACTGCTCTATGACCTTTTTAATTTTAAGTGACAGCATTACATTAGGCATGAAACAGCCCTATGCCCTCACTGGCCAGGCCCAGATGCTTAAGGTTTTGGTATGGGTGATGCCAGAATTCCAAATCATATCGCACACTACACAGTTTGTATACATTTTCCCTAGCTACTAACATCTAACTCATCAATCATATCATTGTAAACTGCTGTTGTAGGGGCATATACCTGTATGAGCGACACATCGATTGACTTTGCCCGAAGGCCAATTTTAATGATTCTATCATTGGATTATATCCAGACACACCCTCTGATGTCTCCTTGGATAAAATAAATGTAATCCCACTGTCTCTCCTGGGGGAAGTATAGTGCCTGATGATAGCACCAAGAACAAGAATGACCTGAGCCTTCATAAATGAATCATCAAAGTAGGAACATGAAATATGAGGAGCATGTATGAAGGGAAGCTTGCCATTGCGACCAAAGAATTGGAGAGGTCTAATATAGAACTTTGTGGAATCTCAGAGCTGTGTTGGAAGGATAGGGATCATTTCATGACAATGGATGGATACATAATGTGCTATTCTCTCTTATAACTAGGTCCCAAATCATCTAAAAATGTTTAGGTCCAAGCCTATGCCTTGAATTGCACCTGAAAAATATTGGCAGCAGTGCAGATCAAGGCACAAGAATAACATGTTTCCTATGAAAAGTTCTTCTAAGCAAGTAACAAACGACCTTCTGCAGCAACTGAAATTTCCAAGTGACATGATGTTACTGTTCTGATGCTTATAGCCAATGACAGTTTTTCTGAGTTTGCCGATGAACACTAGTCAGTCAGGACCTGTGGTCTTCAAAAGTCACCCCCACATACACAGCACTGCAGTAATCCAATCAGCAGATGACAATGGCATGGATAATGAGTAAAAGAGTTTTCATTAAAACTGATTGTATAATACAAAAAATGCTTTGTTATTTGTAGTGTCATATTATTCACTGTTCTGACAACTAGACATCACAGCTTATTTATGTAAATATCTGCAAATCACACAAGTTTCACAATTTTTTCCACAAATGATTATTCCACTGGAAGTGTGTACAGGAAATGCATGCTATTGAGCATCCTTTGGTCATTATTCTCATATTCAAACAATTTTAGGGTGCAGAAATAAAACCAAATGACTTAGGTGACCACATCACACAACACAAATAATTAATAGCCAACAGTCAAAGGGAAGTTGATGAGCACACCATAAATGAAATTTGTATAACACAACCAGAGGTTTCCAGACATGGAGGAAATTGTAGTGTAGGTTCCGCTGCACACCCATTATCATCACCTGCACCTTCTGAATTCACCATCACTAGTTAATTTCCCAAAGAACTTTAAATGTGTAGTTGTTTCTTTTTCTTGTAGAATAACTTATTATAAAAGGCAAAACAAAATAGCTAGACTCTCCAGCAGTCCAGTGCCCTTCCCCACCCTGCAGAAACCGTGGTTCATTACTGACTTACCGGAATGCAGTGTTTGAGATGTGGAGTTTGATTTAGACATGGTCTGATATGGAGTTTAAGAAATATGGGAGGACCAGTGATTGTGGGCCTGGCGAGTGAAAAATCTTGGAATCAATGGGTACGCTGCCATGACAGACTGCACTTCCCTGAGACCACTTCTAGCTGTGCAGGACTAGCAATACCATGATACTGCTCTTAAGGTTCTTATGGCAATCGAAAGTTTTTCTGAGACTGTCATAGAACACTACTGGCCCTGTGTGCAAGGGAAAAAACAAACAAACAATTAAATAAAGGGTTTTGGGGAGGCTTTTAAGGCTAAAGTAATTATCCAGTAGCACAAAATACATAACTTTGATGAACCCTCACCTATGACGGTAGCAAAGTGACTTAGTACACTAAGTGCTTAATGCTTTTGTGCATTGACCTTCTGTTTTCTGAAGTTGAAGACAACTACCAGGTTTGGATCTGAGCTCAAAATGTGTATCACTGTATGTTTGCTTGGGGAGGTGGAATGGGGGGAAATAGAGAGAGGAGCAAGAGAGAGAATTTCAGGGAATTCCTGTGTCTTTTACATGGTGCAAACTGAGGACACAATGTTTATTAGCAGTACTGTGGCTGTGTACAAAACTTGACTTCTTATATTGCTGCTTTTGCTAAGCAGGTGTCAGTATAATGTATACACTCTATACCCTTTATAAGGCAGTTTGAATGTGCCAGTAATGGTTTTGTATCATGAACTCTTATATAATTGGGAACCAGCCATGCTTACTGTCACTTGAACATAACATCATACCCAAGAACTTTCCTATAGATAATAGCATATTTTAGGCATAAATACCCATCCTTAACATTGCAAAAAAAATTAATATAGCAAATTAGGTCACAAGTACCTTACCCTGATTTTACCAGTCATGTAGTGTACAATGTGTGTTCTATCATTGGGCCAACTGGAGCACTAGATATGAGAGATGATGGCAGAAAAACAAGCTGTTTTTCTGGATTAAATGTTGCTTGAAGATTGTACTGAAATTGCTTTAATGAAAAATCATCCACAAGTAGTGCCTACAAAAGTATTAATTCTATAAATGAAATGCTAAGGGTCAGATTTAATGACCCATGTGAAGGCTTAAAACAGGCTGCAGTAACAGCTCAAGGAGTTCCCTACAGGGTTGGTGAAGAGATAAAAGTAGACCCCCGTGCCTCTCTTGTATGTATCATGAGCCGTGCAATCATAGAATCATATGATTGGAAGGGACCTCGAGAGGTCATCTAGTCCAGTACCCTGCATGAGCCCTCTGGAGGCTTCAAGGAGGAGAAGGATGGTGATGTAGAAATGACTCATATTCTCTTTTCTGTACAGGCATGGGGAGTTCCTCACACATTGTCTATCACTTAGCTTCAAGTGCCACATATAGATGATAGAACACATTTGACTGGGAACAATCATAAACAGAAGTGAAATTCTACTCCTGTTTGTCTTTGAGCAGGCTCCCTGGTATGGCTTGTAAAGATGCTGGCACAGCCAAAGTGAAAGGCAGGTTGCCATGATTTCTTGCCTCAAATGTAGCTTACCCCTGTCTGGATAATGTTAAATTATCTCTGTTAGAAACAGCTTATTCTGGGTCCTCATAAATGTGTGTGAAGAGCAATTTTATGTTTGAAATGGACCAGATTGCAGTTATCTTTAAAAAAAATCCCAGAGGTGGGTAACCCCCAACATTTCTACAAGGCTTTCATATTAAACAGGTTGAACACTTGGCTATATTATCTATATACTAGTATATTTTCTCAAGAATAGAGAATATAGATTTCTAGGGCAGTGAAGTTTAATGGGTAAGGTTTGTACAATGTGTGTTTGTATGATCACGTGCTGAAATCTGCTTTTAAATTAAGAAAATGAAAGAAAAACTTTTTTGAAATACAATCTTGGCAGCTGTATTTATTGAGTATTTTTTACGCATTTTCTAACTAACAATTTTCCTCTTATTTTCATGCAGTTGATTGGTTTTGTGTATGCCTGTTACGTGATCAGTGTTTTCATGGAAGAAGAGGACAGCTGTAAGTACTGATACACATCTACTCATCTCTGGAGCTACAGTGTCTGGGGTGAGACTTAGTCTTGCAATAGCCAACTATAGAGACAAAGAACCAAATTTGCAAAATTTAGCCTTCATTTGCACACAGACAATTTTGTTTCTGCAAACACTCTCACGATAGAATATTTGTGTGCAAAACCCACCTAGATGGATTTTGTGAACTACCACAGCCACATTAAAGCCATGTTGCTCAAAAATATGTGAGCAAGTGTGTGTACAGCCAAGGTTTGTTGTATGTAAATACAGCTTGGATTGAGGCCCCTTTGAAAATGTGTCCTGAAGATATTTGGGTTTAAAAATAACCAGAGTGTCAACAGTGAAGTTAATGGTAGGCTACTGGACAAGTCACATTGGCAATAAACAATACAGCTATCATTACACTGCAGTGGACACACACACAGTACTGTTACAGCCAATTAGACACTTGAAATGCAGCTGTCACATTTTAAATTTGCCTTTAACAAGAAAAATAAAACTAAGTAGTTTGCAAAGTTAGGAAGGAAGGAAGACCCTATAAAATAAGTATTGATCAAAAGCCAGTAAGCGAACTCTTCAAAAACCTGAATATGAACAAAACAGTCAGTCCAGCTGATGTGTGTGGCTCTCAGAGTTCCCAGGACTGTGAGTCAGCTTCTTACCCCCTGCGTCTAGTTGAAGCTGGGTGTCAGTGCCCTAGCACCACCAGCGTTTCAGCCACTCAAGCACTCTCCTCTGGGCTCATGCCAGCCCTTCTATTGCCTTGCAGGTTAACAATCGGTGCACCCTAATCCCTGAGTCCCTTTGAATTGTTCCCCTGTGATATTTAACCCCTGACGCTGGATACTCACAGAAATTCCAGATCCTCTACACCAGGTATCGGCAACCTTTGGCACGCAGCCCGTCAGGGAAATCCGCTGGCGGGCTGGGACAGTTTGTTTACCTGCAGTATCCGCAGGTTCGGCCGATCACAGCTCCTACTGGCTGCGGTTCTCCATTCCAGGGCAATGGGGGCTGCGGGAAGTGGCGGCCAGCACACCCCTTGGCCCACGCTGCTTCCCGCAGCCCCCATTAGCCTGGAACAGCAAACCACAACCAGTGGGAGCTGCGATTGGCCGAACCTGTGGATGCTGCAGGTAAACAAACCATACCGGCCCGCCAGTGGATTTCCTTGATGGGCCGCATGCCAAAGGTTGCCGATCCCTGCTGTACACCCAGAGGTGTGCAGGGCACCCCAGTTTCCCCTTAAACCAATGCTCCTGTATACCACACAGGACTGGTGAGCACTTAGGATAAAGCAAACGTAGGTTTATTTAAGAAAGAATAAAGATTTAACTAGAAACAAGAGAGTGGTGGAAACAATGGTTATGATAGAAAATAAAATATAAAATGTGAACCTAGGTTTACAATTATCAATAGTTGCCTTTCTTATCTAACATAGTAGATTTCATCCCAACGTTCAGTCTAAGACATAGTTGTCTGGTATCTCAATAACCAAACCAAATAATCCAAACGTTCATGAAAGTACCCCCCTCTGCCAGGGGTTTTCCTCTGTGAATGGATTGAGAGTGCCTTTCATAACACTCTTTTATACTGAAAACAGTCTTTTGTTTCTAGTTGCAGGCAGGGTGAATCCCTGCTTTGTTCCAGAGTTTCTTTTTACCGTTATGTGGCTTTAATTGTCTCTCATTTATTTATGGTTTTTCATTCACTGTTCTGGGATGTGGCAAGGGTGGACAATAAAATCTTGCCTTTACCTCACCAGCTGACTAGGGAGCCTCTTGCTTGAATGGGTCATCATCGAAACACATTACCACCTGGTGACTAATTTCTACTTCAAGTCCATAAGGCATACTTTCAATATAAATATATTATTCCATAAATGTTACCCAGAAAATACATCTCACAATCATTATGAGTCTTGACAAATTACAAGCTTTCTGTAGATATCTTACATGTTTCTCTTTATGGATACATATCCTATAATACATGTTTTGTGTAGTGAGTTTATCAAGTCTGAGGTGAAAGCTGTTTGCAAAGAACAGGGGACCCTTTGCCAAGGAGTCTCTGAGTCACAGCATTTCTAAGGATATTATAGGAATTAGCTAACAAACTTTCTGTACACCACACAATTGTCTTCATTATTTTTAAAAGCCCTGGAGAACCACAATGATATTGGAAGAGTGAATAAAAGCAAATGTGGTACCAGCCTTTAAAAAAAGAAAGGAAGAGTGGTCCTGGCACTTACTTTCTCATACACAAATACTTACATAGCCTAACTTCACCCTTTAGGAAAATAATGTAATAAATGTCAAGAGAAAAATCACTAGACAGCTAGAGTGTAAGTAATAAGCAACAAACATGTTAGAAAGACTAAATCTTGACAAACTTGGTTGCTTTCTTCAAAGAACTACATGAAATTCATTTGGATTTTAGGAATGCATGTGATAATGTCTCACAAAATCGTATTGAAAATTGTAATTCAAATTGACTGATGGAAACTGCCATATTTTGCTTGAAAACTGTGTGAAGGACCATAAACGAATTGTTATTACATAGTATAAATAGTAATATATTTCACTGAAGGGAATTCTCTAGTGGGGTACAACATGCATGAGGATAAGGCCAAATCTACTTAACATCTTCTTTTAGGTCTGGAACGGAGAGGAAATAGCAATACTAAGTTGGGAAGAGATGCAAATATCAGAGAGACTATTAGATATAATATAGAGAGGCCCAAGAAAAATTACAAATATGGACAGAGACTAACATAGTGAGTTAGAAAGATGAAAGTTGGGGGTAATAACCTGAAACACATGTTTTGAATTTTAAGGAGAACCCCAGATAGCACTAATTCTGAAAGACATTTAGGGATGGTAATGGCCAGCAAATTACTAATGAGTGTGCAGTGCAGTGTGACCACAAAAAAAGCCATTGTGTTTTGAGGTGCATAAACAGAGTTCTTGTTTAATGGATCATTGGGGGATGGGAGTGGGGAGATAATAATTGTCCTTATATATATGGCTCTGGTAGGACTGCACCTGAAACATTACACTCAGATCTGGGTATTTCATTACCAGAAACATAGCAACAAATGTCATAGACTAGAAACATCAAATGATTAGGGATGGTGGATGCACTGATTTAGAAAGGAAGTGCCATCAGCTGTTTTATTAATAAGATGCTTCACACACTCGGACCTGTGAAGACTGGCTCTTTACTTTTTGAGTAAGTAGTTTTCTGTTCTCAATGTTGCTCAATCCTAAATAATAGTGCGCTTCATATGGCAAATGTTTTAGTGATGATGTACGTAAAGAAATACACAGTTGTCTCTCACCAGAAAATAGAAAATACTATTGGAAAATGTAATTGCCTGCTAAAAATGCTATACCATTTGTATTCAGCACCTGACAGCAGGTTTATAGTCAAGTGCATTAGCCTTGATCCTACTTCACAAAACTCATTGACTTCAGCAAAATTAGGATTTAACTCTGGGCTGCTCTTGCAAGCTGCTGAGTATTCCATGGTGTGTTACATCAATTCCCTTTCACATAATGGAAAGTTGAGGGTGTGTCAGTTTCAGGGTAACTGTGCCTGTATTCCTTCTTTGTGGTCCCTCAAGGACACATGCTTAAAGGTTTCCAGCTCCCTGCTATCACCTCACTTGGGTGGAGACCCACATCTCTCTCTCCCTCCTGAGACCAGGGTTTCTTAAGGCTGCACAGCTCCCTACCTATACTGTGGTATTCCCTGCAAGCCAGACTGCCTAAAAAGGCCAGCATCTGTGCTTTGCTTTCTCTCTGAAGGCTATGAACAGTGTAGTTGCCAATAATTGCAAGTCACCACACTGCTCTTTCTAAGCAAGGATATTTATTCTTAAGATGAAAGCATTACAGAGAAAACATCAAAACACTAAAAGAACCCACATGTGTGCTAAAAATCTTACCAGAGTTCACCCCAACTCTAACCTCAGCATCTGGTAGGTGTCAGTCCTTCAAAACCCACAACTGGGTTTTTCCTATGGCTATAGGTTCACAACTGTTTCATATTCAGAACCGGAACACAAGCTGGGCAGTTCAGCCATTTTTTATACAGCTTGGACCTCTGATCGCCAGTTTCCAGGAACAGGTAATCAGTAGACAATCACCCTCTTCTCAGGGTGTAAGTTCAAAAGGCTGGATTGTTGCATAATCAGAGGTAGGAAATTTGCATTAACCTCTCCCTAGGTATCCCTCATTAAATCCTCTTACCACTTATTGTGCCCAAAAATTCTAGTCTTGTCTGGCACATTTTCAGTATAGTCATTTGAACTCCCAGGTCTCACATCTGTCATATTCCCCACCACCACCCCCACACACCCAAAAGAGGTTACATAAGTCCCAGCCCACAATAATACATAAACCATTCATTTAATATAATAGACCCCAACGATATTTAATTTAATAAGGTTTCCCAAGGATATGGCAGGACACTGCCATATCTATCATGGAGGCCACTCAATACTTCACAGGCTCAGGTCCCTAACACATTTAATTGAGGTGCAAATACAGCATGTGATACAGAACACAAAAGCAGCCTGGGTGCATGTTTTTTAGAACTTTAGAGAGATCATGTACCTGAAGTCAGTTTTTACTTGTCTTCACTATATACCAATGACAAACAATGTTTTGTTGTTGGATGCAAATGGCAATTTTACATATCCAGTGAAAGTTTATTTTAATTTAGCTCTCCATCCTTCATTGGGATTGGTATGCTTTGGCCGTTTCACTTCAGTGATAAATTTTCCAAATTCTCTTGGACATAGGCTAAAATTTTACTAGATTTTCTCAGTTTCCAGAACTGCATCACAGGTTTTCTTTTTCTGATGTACTTTTCAATACTAAGGGCTAAATTCTCACAGAGACACTTACACTTTCACACTTACAAAGATCTTTGTTATGGCATTGCATGCTAGCAAAAAAAAAAAAAAACACTGACAGGCACTAT